TTTTTTTTTTTTTTTTTCCCATATCTAAAATAAATGGAAAGGGAGTCAAGAATAATAAAAATAATTTATTTTATACATATTATTTACACTATAGGAATAACAACAAAACAAACTCCTGGGTGGAATAATACTTAAAACAAAAATAATTGAAATAAAATAATTGGAAGTATTTTTTATTTTTAATTTATTGAATAAAGTGAGTTAAGGTTGGAAAAATTTGATTGATTGAAAATTTAAATTGATTTTGAGATTGTGAATAGATATAAGTCACAATTTAATGTAAAAATAGTAAAATAATGATTGATAATTAAAAATATAATGATGAACAATGAATTTTATTGAAATTGTACAATTATAAATGGTTCATATTATTATTGCTAATATTGTAAAGAATAAAATAAAATTAAAGTTGAGTTGAATTTCAAGTTAAAGTTTACCCAATTACAAAACATTAGTTGATAGTTGACAATTAGAAATAATTTAAGTTAAGGGGTGACTGTTTACCAATTGAATTAAGAGCCCATTGAATTACAAAAAGAAGCCCATTGTATTACAAAAAGAAGAATTGAGGGGGTGATTGTTTACCTATTTAACTGAAAAAATCAACCAAAACTCAAATGTAACTCAAATTTAATCCAATCTCACTATCTTCTATATTATCAGCCAATAATTATTACACGATTTACATCAATTTTAATTTACTGTTCATCCACTCTCATAATTTTAACTACCATTACTTCTAAACATTTTTATCCTACTTTATATCAAATCAACTTTAATTATTCTATTTAAATATTATTTTAATATATGTATTAACAACTAATTATACTATTTTTTAACAATTAACTATAATTAGAAAACAACAAAAACTAACTAAATCCATAAACATTCACCGGTAAACAATTTTCAAAAGGGTTGAAAACCGAAAACCCACACAATCAAAATTCCCACAATTTGTCACTCAAGTCCCTACACCTTTTGTCATTTTCCTTTCACCCACATCGGAGCTGAGTAGGACTTGGACCCACGCAGCATATGGTGATACAATAGCGGGTCCCACTGTAATAATTATAAAATCGTAGGCCCAAGTGGCAGGTGGACATATGCGAGCTCATATTCCGAGCCCATTGTCTCCCGCTACCCGTTGCCCGCGGGCACTAGGAAATATTCGGGAAGTTCATTTTTTAAATTTTTTACCAGAAAATTTAAAAAAAATTAAGTTGTGGAAAAAAAAAGACACAATCAAATAAAAGTGGACCAAAATAAAAACCCCGTATTTAGTGAATACATTTTATCCCTTTTTTAATTGTAAAACGTATTCAAGGAATACGATTTCTTTTATAAAATTTTTTGAAAAAACGTATTCCTTGAATACGTTTCGTTTTCTATACAAAATAGAAAACGTATTCCTTGAATACGTGATTTTGATATATGTCCACTTTTTTTTTTTTTCCACATGTTTTTTTATTATTTTTTTTATAGAAATTGCTCTCATTTTTTACATTTATTTGTAGCGAATTAAATAAAAAAGTTGTTTGCTACACGTGTGAGGATTACGGTGGTAACAGCGAAGCCCGTAATAATAGCCCACAGCGGCTACGTGTATTTCGACTTTCAAGTGTGAAGAATAATTACGTTGACATTTGATATGCATAATAATAATTTTCATATATCATAAAGTCTTAAAATAGCAATTTGATTATAAAATGTTTTTATAGTATGCTATTTTTTTTTTTTATATATGTAATCAAAACTTAATTTTTTTTAAATATAAACTAATAATTTGTCGTTCACGTTTTTGCAATAACTGGTGTTTGGATTTTCAAATTTCAGTTTTATTTTATGTTAAACTCTAATTTAAAACATAGAAATCCTTTCGCGTGACAGACAAAACTAACGTGAAATAGTGAGTTCGCATCGCACAAAATCATATATAATTGTATATATATTAGATTTATTAGGGGGTGTCTATATGTACACCCCCTTGTGTGTAAAAAAGGGGTGTACATATAGCATTGCCCTTTGTGTAATTTATTAAAAAGGGGTGTACATATAGCATTGCCCATTTATTATTTATGATGACAAGCAATGTGCAATTATTAAAGGATGTTATGTCCTATCAACAGCTCAACTTGTTAATTATCAAAGAACAATTATTCATGTTTTGGTTTGTGGCAAATCAAACACATCGTAGACAACACACGTATGTTTGTTTAGGCCTTTGTTCAGATGGCGTGGACCATAAGAACTCCAGTGTGTATGTGATTATTAAAGAAGGAGAATGCTACAGTACCGTTATGTTATACGGATATCATTCCGTCGAGAGTTTTAACCATTGAATCATCTATCTTATACTAACTATATGATAATCAAACGGTTAAAACTCCCCAGAGAATGGTTTCGTAAAAAGACCATACTAGTTCCCTATAAAAAAAATGCTACATGTATGTAATACATGTACATAGAGGTATACATCACTCACATGGAGTGGGGTCCACTTGATTTTTTATTTACGGAGGGTCCCACTCAATGTGAGTGTTGTGTACACCCTTATGTACAACATTATGTACTTGTAGGATTACTTAACCTATATAAAGTACTTTCTTTTCTCAAACTTTTTTTTTTCTCAATTTTTAATGATTAGCGATGCTTCTCATACGCGACATTACATGATTAATCAGTTATAAGTACAACTCTTGGCATCTCCCAAAGAACATGAACTATTTAAAACAATTATAATTCAACAACTTGTGTTACTATTTTATTATTGTATCAAATTGTGCCTTAATAATATTGAATGGTTAGAACTTAGAAATGTAGTTAGCTTGACCAAAATGATTGTGACATTACACAAAACTGTTGACGATAAAATGTATCCAACAGAATTAATTAAGAAAAAACAAATAACTTGGTATTAGAAACTCAAGAATTAACAATAAATCCTGAGAGACGAATATAAAACAATTAGAACCTTCAAATGCTAGCCGGGCTTCGACTTCATCAGTATCAGTTGAAGGCGAATCAAGCTTTTGAGTGAGTTTGGCAATCGCTTTCAGGACAGAATCAGGGTCGACATGCTCAAATTAAAGTATATATCAATAATGGAATACGATTAATGCACAAACGCAAAATCACTGCTAATTCCGAATACAAGGATAAATTAAGCCTAACAAATGTTTCAGTAGTTGATGATTAAAAAGAAAAAAATGGAATGCATATCATCTTGGAAATTCAAGTCTTACTTTAGGAATGTACTTGCTCCTGTGAAATCTTACCGTTATTGCCCAAAATTAAATTTAAAAAAAAAAAACAATAGGTAGGTAGGTTGCTTCAAATTAATGAAAAACTCATCTTGAGATAAAGAGTTATATGAGTGGTTAGGATTGGGAACTCATGTGGACCTTCAATTATCACCTTTTTGTTCTTTCAAATTAAATTACTAATGGCTTAAATTTTAGTCCAACCAAATCCAGAAAATTGAACACTCAATACTAAACAGTGATGAAAGCAGCCCCAACACTAGTAGATTCAACTTGTCTAGCTATCCTTAAATTCACAGTTTTTGATGAGTTTGTTGCAAACAACCAATGTTCATTAAGTAGTTGTTTGTGCTGCAGGCATAATATATAATGTCGAATAGGAAATGTGCATTCATTATATATAATATACATATAACACAGAGGTGAGTGCAGACAAGAATTGAATGTTTGAATCAACTAAACAAGCTAAGACAACAACTGATGCTACACACATTACAAAGTAAAATATGCATGTTAGATCGATCGATCGATCAACCTCAGTTCAGAGATGGAAACGTACCAACAGCTCATTATTATTATTATTATTATTATTCCATAATTCCAAACCCAAATCCAAAAATATTATAGTGACTTATATATTAGAATCTGGCATGGACGACTAAGTACGTACGGGCGGAGAACTCACTGGAGTTCATTGGAGAACTCACTCCAAGGAGAGTTTTGGGTGGGTCAGGTCCGTTCCACAATATACGTCTCCAAGCCGCGCCCCATGAGTAAATCGTTCACCGCCGTCTCTCGATTGGAACCTCAGAGGTTGAGAAGGCCAAGGAGCGGCGGCAAGGCAGAGCTGGCAAATATGGTGACAAAGATATCATGCTCGAAGGTACAGTGATTATTAGAAAATTAAAACTGAACAATTATAATACAACTATGTAAAACAGTATAGTCTTGCTTCATGCATCTGGTTAACATGGGCTGAGGTCCATACCGGATAGTTGGGCTTTCATCCATTCATTATTGATGGGCTTCATACAAATTAAGATCATTTGTATACACAAGTGAAGTCCCCCTTTTTTCTCTCTCTTTTTTTTTTCAATATTGGTTTGGTTATCGATCTTAATTTTTTTCAAAAAGAAATATATAAATTTCATATTTATATCAAAAATAATGAAAAAAATAAATCTTCATAAAAAAAAATAAAAATAATTTATGTCTTTAATGAAAAAAAACAATATATATATACATATATAAATCTTCATAAAAGAATTAAAAATTATTGTGGATGTCTTGGTGCGGTAGGTATATATATATATATGTTGAGAGTTTGTGAGCATATATGATAACCTTGTCATCGCATCACAGAAGCATTATCATTACAAAAGGCAGTATACGTGCAAATTGATCTTGTCACCATTATCAGTACAACATATATATTGTGATTGTTATTAGTCATTACATATAATATTAATTAATTAATCCACTACCATATAGTTCAAAGTTCCATGCAAGCACACACCATTAGTAATCAGTAGTGACTAGCCTCCACCCAACCTTCTTCTTTCACACACATTTGTCGATAGTGGTGTGTTTGATTGTATCTATAAATATGTTGCACATTTCATTTATTTGAATTATCTTATAATGTGATCAATCAACCTCTTGTTTTAATTTTATTGTTGTGAGTAATAAAAACTTGTTTAATTTTCTCTCAATTATATATGATTATGATCTCGGGCTGCTGATACCACAACAATATTACATGTATATATATATAGAAGTGGATAATAATCTATTCATAATTGTGGAGGGAAATAGTATGATATTTATAATAAATTATGTAAGTATGAGAGGAAAAACTAAAAAATGATTGATATATATAATATATTATTCATGAGGTAGTTACGTTCATTTAGTTTACAATACTATTATTCATATGATATGTCTCTCTCTCTCTATTAAATGCTACAGCAGAGTTAACATGATCATCAATATAACTCATCAGCCTGCATCTCATGTACCACCATTTTTAGACTTTTTTTTTTTTCTTTTTTTTCTGCGCACATATATATAAAAATTTGACCACCGCTACGTACCTTAATAGGACATATATATATATATATAATTCTCTCAAGTAAATTACCTAATTTATTATTTGATGTATACGTACGTTTCAGCAGAGTCGGCTTGTGGGCTAGTTGAGCAAGGCTCTAGCCTAGGGCCTCAACTTTTTCGGGGCCTCACATATATGTGTGTATTTATATATTATACCTTTGTATTGGGCTTGGCCCAATTTATTTCCTTAAATCCAAAAGGTTCTATTAGTCTTTGTTTGCACTGCACTTTCACATTACGAAATAAACCCAATTCCTCGAATCTGTCGTGGAATTTAGTTGCTCGACCTCGACGGCCAACACTGGCCTCCGCCCTCATCACAACCGCCTCAAGCATCACCGTCGCCGTCGCCGCTGACTGAGCTTCTCAATCAATTCGGTAGGAACTTTTTCTTATATTTTCTAAACATTTTCCCCGTTTGTCTGTTGAGTGTCGAATTTGGTTATTGTGATTTGTTGATTGATATGAGTTTTGAAAGCACTCAAGCATATTTGTTGATTCTCTGGTTGAAGAACAATTAGAATATATTAATTTTGATAACACGAATTCTAATTTATCGAATTGATGTGTTCCATCAGGTTTAATAGAATTGATGTTCCCATCTGTTTTGTTCTATATTCTAATTCTAATTTATAAATTCTAAGGGCAATAGGAAGGTAACAGGAAAGGTAAAGTGTGTAGACAATATGGGGCGATGTTATCCATTGAAAAAAAATAGTTGCGAAACTTGATTATGGTGACTTGATTGATAATTTTGTACAAAAAAAAGCGAGAAGGTTGTAAGTTTTTGAATTCTAATTTAATTATTTTTCTCATATTCATGTTTTTTTTCGTATTTATTATTGACGATGTTTATTATTATTTGTTTAATTAGAAAAATAAAAAATATAAAAATACGATTACGGGCATCTCTTGAAAAATTTTTCTGGAGCCTCCAAATTTCTGGAGACGGCCTGGTACGTTGCCAAGCTCTTCAATCGTAGTATATATATTAATTGTTTTTAACAATAGAGTGAGGAGTTATTACGCAAGAATATTGTCATCAGTTGTATTTTAAAAAACAATATAAACAACAACTACAATTTTCATAGCATAAATATATACATATATATATATATTGTTTTATTGTAATTAATTAATTGTATGATCAGTGCAGGTTGAGTAGGACTAGCTGCTTAATAACATTTATATATAAAGCCGCACCAAAGAATTTTGTGTTTGTGTAAAGTACTGATCAAATATTTTACCAATCGCCTAACACATTGCTTTACAGTTTACAGAAAATGTACGTACCACTACAACAAACTTGAGTTCTAGCAACATATATGTGGTGATTTTTTAATAAGTGTAATTAAATTGATGTTTTTGTGACGCTTTTTAAAAAATGTTATAAGGATAAAATTATTCCAACCCTTTTTTTTAAAAAAATGTAATCAAATCATGTCATTTTTTAAAAAGTATCACCGTATTCACCAATATTGGGACATTTATTTGAAAGTGTAATTAAATTATGACGTTTTATATAAAAATATCATCACGTTTTTTAAAAATGTATTAAAATAATTACACATTATTAGAAAGTGTCACGAATTTTACTAACACTTATATACAGCTCATCCACTCCCCCTATATCCCCAAATCGCTCGTCGACTTCCTTGCTAACCCTAGCTACACGTTCGTCAAGATCGGCATGGATCAGACCTGGAAAAGATCAGAAAGAATTACGAGTTCGGGTTCAACACTAACACAGTGGATTTGGGGGTCCCAGCGGCGGAGAGGTACGAGAGGGTGGAGCTGAACAGCACGGGGTTGAGAACCCTCGCCGGCGTTGTGCAGAGAGGGACGTGGAGAAGCCAAGGGCGGTTACGATGAGCAGATGAGACAATCAGTGGCCGACGCCGGCTCAGGTTCAGTATGCTTGTGTTGTTGCATTTGTCTGCTTTGAAATTGATAGGATTCTTGATGCTTTTTCATTTTAATCTTCTTCATCTACTTCTTGGTGAATTTGCCTCCCAAAAATACGTAGAAAAGTGGGGATTGCTTTGTGAATAATTTGGATTATTGACTTCTGTGACTTGTTATGAGCATGTGAAGAAAATGGGATGCAGATTGATGTTTTTTATTTATATTTTTTTTTTTTTTTTTTGTTGAATGCTAAGTTGTTTTCTTGTGGCTTAATGACATTTTTTATCTTGTGTCTTGTTGTTTGGAATTTTATTTTATTTATGCATTTACTTGTGTTTGTATGCCTCTGTGTGTGTATGTGAGTGTTATACTTGTGTTATACGGCGAATCCATCATGCTGAGTTTGGGTATTGATCGATCCATTGACATTATGTTGGGTATTAATGACATTATGTTGGAACGATCATGCACACTCGTCCTATTTTACTTGTGTTGGCTATTGGTCGATCCATTGACATTTATCATCTTGATCGTTACCTAGTTATGACCTGAAAATATACAGAAAAATAAAAACATCTTGAAATTATATAATTTATTATATATATATAGACATTTGTACTTTTATTTTTCAACTTCTAGATGGACATAAATTACAATTTGTATACAGAATAAAAATTAGATGATTTAGCTTTGAACATGACATCGGAATTTGGTTTCATTTATGAGTAAGAAATAGACTAATATTGTGGAGTTATATTGTAAAAAAAAAAATGAAATAAAAAGAGAGAGAGAGAGAGTCTCAAGTCTCAACCATAAGAGATGAGAAAGAAATAGTGACGATATAGTTTTGACTCGAAAGAATGAATACGACAATGTATATTTATCATCCAATTATTTAGTTTATTTTTTGTTATATATGAGACATTTTATATGGGTTTTAGTTCATTTGATTGAATTGGTTGAGCTTAAAATAAATAGTAGTTTTAATTTATTTATTTTTAGTCGATATCATTTTATATTGAGACCGACATCTAAGGTCATTTAAATGGTTGTGATTAAAGTGATTGCCCTCGTTTTAATTAATTTATTTATTCATAATTATGCAACTATATTTTTATAAATAAAAATGGCATAATGTATTAAATATTGTTAATTTTTTATTATTATAACACGTGTTTTGTTAAGAGAATGATGCTAATATAATATCGCTACTAATTTGTTGCAATAAAATTCAATAAGGATTACTATAATACATCAACTACTTTTTTCTTATCATATATCATAAATATTAGTTTTATAAAAATAGTATACTTTTTATAATATATATAGTGTATTTTGTATGTATTCTTTTTTATCTTATGAATTCACTTCCAAAAATTATATTAAATTTTATTTCACATTAACTGCGCGCAAAAAATAAATAACTTTGTTATTGACATGAATATTAACGATTATTGTGCCTATTTGTAAGTTTGCAAAAGGTGATCCATCTTGCATGTCAGTCTGAAAAAATTTATAAAAATTTATTTAGATAATTTAAAAAAAAAAAGAGAAAAATATATGGACCTAATTTGAAACATGCAGTTCAAATTGAGTCATTTTTTGTTTTTTGTTTTACTTATTCAAATTATATTTTTAATTAGATCATATTTCTACATGTTTATTTCAATTATTTCATATCAGTTTACCTATATAATAGTAATAATGTCTTTATTATGCGAGAATGATGAAGTTTCAAGGAGTGTAATTAATGTGAAAAATATTTTTCGTTGAATATCATAAATTATTATTTTAATTTTATATATTTTTTAAAAAAACATATGGTATTTTGTACTCACAATCAATTATATGTTGTTTCCCGGAGTCACCGATTCCAATTGTTTGATGGTTATTATTTATGATAATGGTCATAATGAATACAGTCAATCGATTTCTAAGATTATATTCATGAGAATATCTTGAATATATTAAATAAAATATTTATCTTACTTTTTATTAACTCTATACATGTTTTATGTATATCAAATTATAATTCACCCAAATTATTTTTAATGTCAAGCCGCGCAACGCGCGTTGTGTACTAGTATAAATTTAAGTGTAGTGAGAGAAGAGAGAGAGGAAGGGGCCCATCATTGATTTCAATTGGCCCAAAAACAGTTAATGCTCTCCCTCTGCCCACACTCATCAACCCAACCTTATACTGCTTTCAATTTCCTCATGAATTCTTTCAATTTCCTCATAAATTCTTTCTATTCACCCTCTTCCTCCTCTCCTCCTTCTTTTTTATTATTATATATTATATATATTATTTCATGAAAAAGTGAAGTTGTTTTAACCACAATATATAATATGGGTCCAACTTTTTTAGAAAAAATCATATATATACCAATGTTGTCAATTGTCGTCACTTTTATTTAGCTCTCTTTTAAGGTATAATAATATTTCATTTTAAAAATATCTACATCTATAAAAAAAAAAATAGAATGTACTACCTCCTGTTCATTATAAATATCGTCTTGACTTTTGTGATTCATCCATTTTATTATGTATCCAGACATTAATATGTCTAGATATATAACAAAATGGATGAATCAAAAAAGTTAAAACGACATTTATAATGAATAGGAGGGAGTAGTATATATTTGGAAAAAAAAAAAGCTTTCAATTGTATTACTGCTAATCACGTGTCGCCCCCCAACTAGAACACCAAAAATTTGCTCCTTTAAAAAATAATAAAATAAAAAAAAAAATGTACTGTCAATAGTATGTGCGGCCTCTTTAATAAAATAAATAATTAAATAAATTCCACCGTTGGTAATAAATACCTTACTTACTACCTGACCGACCTCCATTTCCTCTTACCCCTCTTCCCAAATGACTACCACTTTCCCTCCACCTCCTGCCGTCGGCAACGGCGGATCCACTCCTGCCCTCATCGCCCAACAATTACCACCGCCGTACTACCCCGGCGCACCGTCCTCCTCCACCGCCTCTTCCATCGTCATCGTCATCATCATCATCGCGTCAGCAGTTATCGTCTCCGCCTCCATCTACATCCTCCTCCGCTTCCTCTCCCGCCGCTACCACCGAGCTTTCCGAACCGCCGACGAAGACGTCATCGTTCTCCGTCCCGAAACCTCCCGACGCTTCCAGGCCGCCGCCGGCCTGCTGGACGACCTCCCGCTCTTCACCTTCCGCTCCGTCCACGGCGACCTGGCCGGCGCCGACTGCGCTGTCTGCCTGTCCAAATTCGAGCCCCACGACCAGCTCCGGCTGCTCCCCCTCTGCTGCCACGCCTTCCACGCCGCCTGCATCGACACGTGGATCGTCGCCAACCACACGTGTCCCCTCTGCAGGTCCGCCGTCCTTCCCCCCGCCGACCTTTTGGCCAAAACCGCCCCCGCTGCCGGCGGAGGGGGCAGCTTTCGCGTCGAGATCGGGAGTGTCAGCCGGCGCGGCGCGGCGGACGATGGGCGGCGCTCGTACTCGATCGGCTCCTTCGATTACGTCCTGGACGAGAACGGGTACGAGGTCCCTGTGGGGTCCACCGCCATCCACCGGAGGGGGGGTTCCGACTGCACGTCCGTGGACAAGGAATCGTCCGTCGGGATCCAGATGCCGGAGCCGCCGGGGGAGGCCATCGCGGCTGAGGTATCCGGAGGGAGGAACTGGCTGAGGGAATACATGGACCGATTGGCGTCGTCGTCCTCCCGAGCGTTGTCGTTCAGGAGCTCCGGGAGGTTCTTCACCGGAAGCAGCAGGCGGAGCGACCTTGGCGTCGAGGATCTGGAGGCGAACCAACACCACCACCGTGTGGGCGAGGAGATAAGCGAGTTATTCCGGTGGCTCTCCGGGATCTAAGATGTGTAAATTCTCTCAGCCAATAGGGGTAACGACGTCATTTTCGTATATAGCTAGGTTCACGCCATTCTGCTGCACATTTATTTAACTTACACACACATTTTTTTACTTTTTCCTTTTGAGAGATCAGATGAAAATATTTTGATTGGAAAATCGTAAAACTTTAATTGAATATTATTTTCTTAAATTTATTCCCCAAATCCCCGGCCAATATTAGTCTGAAAGTGAGTGATTGGTGGAAAATACGTAGTAGTATAGTTGTTCGTTAATGAATTATCTTGTTGACTTGATTAACCAGTCTATAATAATTCTCTACTAAATTAATAAATGCAATTAATTAGTACCGATCACGATATTCATATTTATCTACTACTACCTCCTATTTTTAATAGATGTCATTTTGAGAAGTTGCACATTAATTAAAAATATTTTTTTTTCAATAATAACCTTATTTAATGAATATAGAGATGAATGTTTTGAGAAAAAGTGAAGAGTGAATATGTAAAAGCGTAATGTATTTATTAGCTAAATGAGGGTAAAAATGAAAAAATATATACAAAAGATCGAAAACGGTATTTATTTAGTAAATAGTTGATAAAGCTAGAATGATATTTAAAATGCTAGAATGAGAGTAGTATATTTTGTTGGTTAAAAGGATAAACTATAGAGGTGTCGAGCTGGCGTCCGTAAATGCGCTCTGTTCTTTTCTTTCTTTGAAAAGTAAGTGCAAAAATATATAGTTAGTATTTGAGTGGTGGTTTTTGTGGTGTTGACTAAAGAAAGAAAGCCTTCTGTTTGTACTTTTGTAGT